AGATTTACTAAATTAAGATGAAGTCATTGTGGGGGGGTACTAATTTTTATAAGGACTTGTGTCCTTATAAAAACTGAAAACTTGGAGCTGGGCATGATGGCAGACACCTGTAATCCCAGCACTTTGGGAGGCCCAGGTGGGCGAATCATGAGGTCAGGAGTTTGAGACCAGCCTGGACAACATGGTAAAACCTCATCTCTACTAAAAATAAAAATATGTTTACAGGTGTGGTGCTGCACACCTGTAATCCCAGCTACTTTGGAGGCTAAGGCAGGAGAATTGCTTGAACCCAGCAGGCAGAGGTTGTAGTGAGCCAAGATCAGGCCACTGCACTCCAGCCTGGGTGACAGAGCAAGACTTCATCTCGAAAAACAAAAAACAAAACAAAAACAGAAAATTTGGGCCAGGTGCAGTAACTCATGCCTGTAATCCCAGCACTTTGGGAGGTCAAGGCACGTGGATCACTTGAGCCCAGGAGTTCAAGATCAGCCTGGGCAGCATAGCAAGACCCCCTCTCTATTTGGAAAAAAAAAAAGAAAAGAAAAGTAAAACTGGAAATATGGAGACATACAGGAGAAAAACGATCTGAAGATAGCCATGTTATGATGGAATCAGAGACTGGAGTGATGTGTCTACAAGCCAAGGAACTCCCAGGACTGCTGAGAATGGCCAGAAGCCCAGAGAGGCAGGAAAGGGCTCTCCCCTACAGCCATCAGAGATAGTGCGGCTCTTCCAACACCCTGACTTCAGACTTCCAGCCTCTAGAACCGAGAGACAATAACTTTCTGTTGTTCAAGATCCTCAGTTTGTGGTACTTTATGGCAGCCCTAGGAAACTAATGTAAGCATTACCTAACATACTTATCTCACCGGATCTCTCCACTAGACTATAAGCTCCGTGGGGACAGAGATCTCTGTCCCTTTTGTTCTCTGCTGTATCCCCAGTGCCTAAATACAGGTGTGGCACAGAATGGACTATGACTGTCAGCAGCTGTCCAGAGCAGACCTGTACATGTCAGAAAACTCACCACAAGGAGGGGACAGAGGAAGGAAGGGCTGCTTTTAGCTACAAAAGAACAGAAAATGTGACTTACAGTAGTTTGAACAATAAGAATTATTTTTTTTTTTTTAGCGGCCGGCAGTCTGGGCTGGGCAGCACCTCAGTCACACCAAGGACTGACTCTCACTTGACCAGGTTCTGGGTGCTCCGCTCAGCCCTCATGGTCACAGGGGGGTGGGGTGGGTTCTGCACACCAGGGTCCCTTCCACATTCCAGACAGGAAAATGGGGGCAGGCCTGGCCACACCAGCTGCTGTTTGATGTCCTCACGTGGGGAAACCCTGAGCAACCTGAGGCTTTCGTTAGCAGGCTTAGGCACCTGACCAGCCGCAGCAGGCACACAGCCACCGGAAAGAGCCGGCAGCTCAGCCAAGTATTCAGTCTTCCAGCCCCAGAGGGGAGGAAGCTGAGGGGCAGGGTTAGGAGTGAATGCAGTCTTGCCGCCTCAGTGTGGGCCTCAGAGGGAGCGGAAGGACCAAGGAGTCGGTAAATGGTGTTGAGACTTGCTGGAGACACTGGGGAAAATGGATTCCCTACAACACACCTTCCACAAACTTAACTCCACTTTGATTAAATGCCAAATTTGAAAAGCAAACTTTTAAAGCTTTTAGGCAAAAAAAAAAAATCCTTGGAATATATTATGAAATGACGCTAAATTGTAGCCTGTATATCAAACAATATCATTAAAAAGCAAAAGCCCCCAGGCACACTGGAAGGTACATGCAAGGTATATCACCAGAGGAGCCCTACACAAGAACTCCTACACATCCGTAAGAAAGGGCATGGACTAAACCACCACACAGAAACACAGATGCCAATAAACACACACAGATCCCAACATGGCTAGTGGAGAAACAAACAAAAGCTTTCACATCCATCTGTCAAAAATGGAAAGCTCAGGCCGGGCGCAGTGGCTCATGCCTGTAATCCCAGCACTTTGGGAGGCTGAGGCCGGTGGATCACCTGAGGTCAGGAGTTCGAGACCAGCCTGCCAACATGGTGAAATCCCATCTCTACTAAAGGTACAAAAAATTAGCCGGGTGTGGTGGAGGGCACCTGTAATCCCAGCTATTTGGGACGCTGAGGCAGGAGACTCGCTTGAACCCAGGAAGTGAATGTTGCAGTGAGCCAAGATCACGCCATTGCACTCTAGCCTGGGCGACAGGGTGAGACTCCCATCTCAAAAAAAAAAAAAAAAAGCACCGACTACCTCAGCTGCTGAGGGGCAGAGGGGATCTCTGCAGGTGCCACCCCACTGTGGTCATGGCCCGATTTGGAGAGCAGTGAGGCACCCTCTAGTAAAACTTTCTGAAAATGGGTCAGGAGTGGTGGCTCATGCTTGTAATCCCAGCACTTTGGAAGGCTGAGGTGGGTGGATAACAAGGTCAAGAGATCAAGGCCATCCTGGCCAAAATGGTGAAACCCCATCTCCAAAAATATAAAAATTAGTTGAGTGTGGTGGCACATGCCTGTAATCCCAGCTACTCAGGAGGTTGAGGCAGGAGAATCGCTTCAACCTGAGAGGCAGAGGTTGCAGTGAGCCAAGGTTGCACCACTACACTCCAGCCTGGCGTTGGAGTGAGACTCCGTATCAAAAAAAAAAAAAGACACATCCAGGAGTGCTTAGAGCAGCATCATGACTCAAAGCAAAAGCCCCAAACCACCTCCACCCAGTAGCAGAATGGAGAAACTGGAGTCTGTTCATACCTCACAGCCAGCAAGAAACACCCATCGTGAACCACATGTAATCCAAAGACTCACCAACAATGTTGAATTGCAAAAGTTGAAGAATTGCAAAAGTTGAGGAATACGTCCATATACCACTTAGTCTTCAGAAATGCAAAACAATACAATGTATTTAGAGATACATATCCCTGTAGTAAAAAGTTTAAGAAACACACAAAAAGTCCGATTCTGCAGCAATCACCTTTGGTGGGAGGAGACAGAAGGATCTGAGTGTGTCAGTGAACATATCTACCGTCACACAGCAGGTCCATAGCCACACATTCACGTTTAACTTTTGTATGATAAAATACCTCAAATTTTTAAACACATATGGCGAAAACATAGATTATGGCATCACGGTCCTGTGTGGGTGAAATGTGGATGTAAGAACACACACTGATCATTCTAGGGAAGCACATCTAGGTGTGAATTTTCCAACAATTGGCTTTTCTTGAGTGCAACAAGGCTATGTTTCCAACGGAAAGGGGCGCCCACCATGACAGCCAAGTAGAGACCGGCATGATCACTTTAACGCCTGCTGTCACAGCAGGAGGTCTAATCCATCTTGTGCTCAAGACTGGGTGCTTGTTAAAACCACTGGAGGGGCTTTTCAAACCGCCCTTGCCATGGCTCTACCTGACTTACTAAGCCAGAACTGGAGAACAAGGCAGGCTCTTTTCAGTTCTCCAGAGAACTCCATATGTAGCCAAGGTTGAGAACCATCTAGTACGGGACATCGATTTGCCTAATAATTCAGGAATTCGGGGAAGGCCAAGTTAGAGCCAAAAATTAAAGGTCAAGTTTGGTGAGTGTGGTGCCAATGATGTGGTTGTAGCTGCCATGGAGAGCTCCAGGCTCCAGGCCTCAGCCCTACACACCTGGCCTAGAAGCCGTCCAGCATCCAATGGGTGAGCGTTGTGGTTGAAACGAGTTACTGCGTCTCAATTGTTCCAAAGCAGGGCCTATCATGTATACAGAATCTACTACCTTTTCAAGTAAAGCAACTGTTTTGGGGAAAATGTCAATAAAATATTTCAGTAAGGAGGATCACGATTACTCTTAAGGTTTCATGAACAGGCCCCCAAACCTGTGAAGGAAGCATGAACTGGAACCCTGCAGTCACTCTGCAGAATCTCTCCACATCTAACCTACTGAAGAAAGAAACACAGAGGACACGAGAGGCGGGTGACAGTGGACCAGTGAAGAGCTCTGGGGAATGACAGACTGAGGATAAAACCCTTACTTTCACTTCATGTCCCTCTGTATTTTTTGCAATGAGAATCTATTTGAGGCTGGGTGTGGTGGCTCACGCCTGTAATCCCAGCACTTGGAAGACTGAGTCAGGCAGATCACGAGGTCAGAAGATTGAGACCATCCTGGCTAACACGGTGAAACCCTGTCTCTACTAAAATTGCAAGAACAGCCAGGTGTGGTGGCAGGTGCCTGTAGTCCCAGCTACTCAGGAGGCTGAGGCAGGAGAATCGCTTAAACCTGGGAGGCAGAGGTTGCAGTGAGCTGAGATCATGCCACTTCACACCAGCCTGGGCAACAGGGCGAGACTCTTTCTCAAAAAAAAAGAGAATCTATTTGATAGTGTTAATTACCAAAAACCTGGCTGCTGCAGGGACGCAGGGTTTGCTTTTGCTTTTCAGGTGGGAGATTCAAATGCAACTGAACTGTGAGTGGGAAGGGGATGAGGAAGATGAGATCATGAGTTCAGCAGGGTCTCCTAGGAGGGACAGAGTTGGGATCAGAGCCAGAGGGGTGGCTCTGGACAGGACAGGACACGCTGCTCTACAGTACGAAGGCTGGACAGCAGCAGCAGGTCACAGCTGGGGGAGAGGACTATGAAAGCTGCCAGGGGCAGTGCCCTGCCTTCAGCTGCTGCCTTTCCTCCACACTCCCCATTACCATCTTTGTCCCCAAGGTGCCCCAAAGGGCCCGCCACAGCCACCCCCACCGTCCTCCTGCCCACCAGTCCCTTGCACATCATCCCAGAGCTCCAAGGAGTTCCCTGCCAATGTACCCACCTGCCCAGCCAAGCCTCTGCGTGGTGCCCCTTGCCACCCATCCTTTTACTCAGAGGCCCAGAGTATGTGGGATCCCATCCTCCCAGGACTCTGCAGGCCAGAGTGAACGAACTGAAAGCTCTAAAGCACTGGCCGGCTGGAAGTCAGTGGAAAAAAAGGAAAACCCTCAGGACAGTCACACAACTGGGGTTGGGTATTTCACTTTAGTTAGGAAACGGTCACGCTCGGCCCCACTACACCACCCCTGCAGCCTCGCTTGAGCATCTGCCTCAGGAAGCAGCTTGAGGTGAACAGGAAGGCCTGGGTTTCCCAGCCTGGGCCTCGTCCGCCACCACACGTGCCACACACCACAAAACAAAATCACTTCCCCATGTCCTCAGGGGCCCACCCCAGTGTGGTCCAGGGGACCCTCCAGTGTTCAACAGCTGCCTGCAGGGGCTGCAGCCCAGCTTTAGGCACAGACCCCCTGCTCCTGAGACGCCAGCCCCAGGAAAGCCTCCATCTCCAGCTGTGGGGGTGCCAGACCCTGGGCCCTGGCCCTGCCTCCTGTCCCTGCTGCGCAAGAAGCAAAATGTATGAAAATACTTTAATCATTTATTTGAAAGAGTTAAGAAATAAGGTCATCTTGTTGTTCTTTTATAATCCCAGTAAAAAAAAAGTTCACATTGGTTCCTGGGCCTACGTGTAGGCCCCACTGGTGGTGCCACTCAGTAGAAGCGCTTGTTCCGCTCCTGCCGCTTCTGGAACACCACGGCCCCCACCACGGCACAGACGACGATGCCCAGGAGTGCGCACAGCAGCAGCAGGAACACCCGCCACCCCGTGAGGGGCCCGCTGCGGAAGTTCCCCGTGGGATCATCCACGTTGTCTGGGGAAGAAGAAACGGGGGAGCTGAAATGGTAGCACAGGCTGCCGCAGAACAGGGGCTGCAGGACAGCAGCAAGGATGGGACAGGGACAGGACAGCCAGCCAGGGCACGCAGGCTGGTCAAACTCACCCCCTCAGTGGGGAGGGGCAGAGGTCAGGTGAAGCCCATCCCAGCCAGCTCTGCAGTCCCCATGGCAGGGCGAGGCAGAGAGAGGACCAAGCCCACTGGGACCCAGGACCCCGGGGACTCAGGTCTGGGCTACCTTCTGCTGCAGGAAACTGGTTAAAACCAGACTCCTGGACTCCCCTGAGTCCGACTGTGGACATGGGGAGGCCCAGGAGGCTGTGTATCCAAGCCCCACTGCCACGCTGAGGTCTGAGGACCCTATCTGGAGCAACGTGGCCCTAGCCACAGGCTCTCCCAGCCCACAGCTGGATGCTCTTGGCAGCCCCCCAGGGGTCTCCCAGGACCTGAGTCCTGCACTCCACCCCAGCCCACAGCCTGTCTCCTCTACACAGGGTGTCTCACAGGTCCTGCCCATCCTGGGATGGGGCCCTCTGGTGCTCTCCCTTGTACAGGCTAAGAGAAGGTACTGACTCTCCCAAGCTCTCCAGGCTATGTGTGGAGGAGCTGGGGTCTGGCCGGGCCCTGTTTCTGCCACTCTGCCTCCCTCCCTGACTGTGGCCCCCCGACTCCACACTGTGCAGTCTCCTCAGGTCTCCCTGCACCCAGGCCCTGCCTCTCGGCAGCACGCATGGCACCCTCTTGCCAGCCACAAGCCTACCTCCATCCTCCCTTCCTGCACATGCTGCCAATGGCAGGCCTGCTGACCACTCTTGCACCAGCCTCTACTCTGCACAGCGACAGCAGCAGCCGCCACTGACTGAACTGGGAGGTCCCTAGGGATGGTGCTTCCCCGGAAAGCCACTCAGCCTTGGGGCTCCCACGGCTCCCTCTGTCTCCCTCAGCCACTAGAATAAGCCCCAGGGGCAGGCCCTGCCTGATCCCTGTGTCTCTATCACCCAGCCCGTGGCTAGGCACAGAGGGAAGCTTTGGGCACATCTGAAGAAACAAATGGACTGAATCTAAAAATGAGTTCGTCCTGCCTTGCCAGCTGCACAGGATGCTAGGTGGGCAAGGCAGGTGCCACCTCTGAAAGCACCCAGCGGCTGGCAGCTCTTTGACCAAAGGTTGCAGGGTTTGTGTGGCCCCCAAAACATTTCAAAATAATCTGAATCTTTAACAAGTGAATTGTCATACAAAACACTGGATCCTGGCTTCTCTTGAGAAGCAGAAAGACGCAGCCAAAATGGCCCATGTGGCATGGGGACCCAGGGCTGGGCTAGGACAGAGCCTGTGCTGCACACTCTGTCACTGGCTAGACCCCCAGGCATGCGTCTGTGGTACTCAGGGTGGACTTCTCCACACATAGGTGCCTCATTCCTCCAACCACAACGCTCACTCTGTGAGGAGAGGGGTAGCTAATTAGTACCATGGGAAGAATCCAGGCTTCGGGTTCTGAAGAAACCCAATTTCCAATCCTGTGTCTCCCTCCTTCTAGCTAAGGAAACCTGGGGAATCCATCTCCTCGGCCAGCAGCACAACCTCCTTCCAGGTAGCTCATAGAAGGGACATGTGGGACAGCGTACCCAGCCCCCTGCTCTGATGGCCACTGCCCCAGTGCCTAGTGAGGGAGGATGCTGGCTCAGCACTCACACATTTGCTGATCAGCCTCAAGGGACTGACTCTCTGAAAACTTCTCGTCTGCCTCATTCATTTACTCAAAAACTTGCCAGAACTGACGTGACCCAAACCCAACCCTCTAGGAGCCTGGTCAGGCAGGGCCAGCCAGTGTCACCTGCCAGGGCAGAGCTGATCCAAGAGCCCAGACCACAACCACAACTGGACCACAAGACTCACTTGGCCGGCCTCAACCCATTCTGGGTCAGGCCCAGGCAGGGTGGGGCTGTGGACACGCACCTTTGGGTGACTTCAGGAAATTGACGCTGGGCTCAATCTTGGTCCAGTCGATGTTTTCCTCATCAGGCGTGTGCTCCACCATCAGCTGGAACAGCTTCATGGAGATGATGTCATGATTGTCTGGAGGCCCAAGAGGAAAGCTATGATAGCCTAAAGCCAGACTCAGGGCATGTGGCCTAAGCCCTTCCCCCAAGGGAAGCTGCTGCCCAGGCCAGTAAACCGGCCAGGCCCCCAGGGACAGCGCTGCTCTGCTCCTCTAGGGCCTGTTTTCTTCCCAGTTCTCTCCAGCCCCCAGCAATAAAAACCTGGGAGGAGGCAGAGTGGAGAGAAAACAGCAAAGGCTTTACAAGCAGAATCACCTGGGTCTAAATCCTGGGGTCTGCTGCCCTCTTTGAGGTTCAGTTTCCTCACGTGTAGAGAAGGAGTGATGATCTCCATCTGTGTGGTTACCATGAGAACGTCTATACCACACAGAAGAAGGCATGCCTGCAGAGCACATGCTCAAAAAATGACCCGGTACGAACCAGCAGTCACTCTGTGACTGGTTGAGAAGCCTAAGTTTCCCAAGGACAGGAGCCACCATGCATTCTTGTCACAGAGCCCCACATATAGGCTGCAGGGGCTCTGTGACAACTCAGCAACCAGCTAAGGGCCTGAGCTTAATGCAGGTCAGTGGCTGTGCCTGAGGAGACTGGGGAAAGGCTCTGTCCAACAGCATGGGCAGGAAAGAGCCCCAGCTTGTCAGTGATGGATCACCCCGCTGTAGAGATAAGGAGGTTAAGGCTCAAAGCCAATACATGGGTCCTGGTTAGCCTAGGACTGGAATCAGAGGAAAGGCTGTGTTTAAGGAACAGGAATCTCTGGAGCCAAGAAGAGGAAGGACCTACTGAGCAAGAGCTCAGCCAGGCATGCAGTGTGACAGCTGAGCGTGCACAGCCTCTGAAGACAGCAAGCAGCCCTGCGGGACACGGATCAGCCTGGGGGTCAGGTTCCAGCCACCAGGGCTCTGCTGCTTCCTGCTCGTATCTTAGAAAAATCCCTCCAGTTCTCAAACTCCCAATGGTTGAGTAAAAAGGGAATGAGACTGCTAACTGCCTAAAAATACATCAGATGACGTCACCCATAAGGTGCCTGGCACTGATGACCCCTGACCAGCAGTCAGACATGGCTCCCCTCATGGCACCTCCACCACTCTGTGCTGGGCTCTCCCAACAGCTGTGAGAGCAGCCACCAGTCACAGCTCTGCTCCTATCAAGAACCCTCTGGAGAATGTGCCAAAACAGTCTGATGAAGTTCCAGGTGACTTGGGGGCAGAAGGGGAACCGGCCAGGCACAGCTGGAAATTATGAAAGCTGTTTGACAGCTTCCTAGACCATTCTCTCTTCTGCTGGGTACATGACTGAAAAACCCCCCAAACAATGGAGGTTCTGGGGTCTGAGTGGACCCAAGCACTTCCATGGTGAAAGGGGAGGCTCCTGGGCAGTGGGCAGACTACAGGCCCTGGAATGGGTCATCCTTAGGATAAACCACCCATGTCAGGTCCCCCATGTCATGTGCCAGTTCTGATCAGGAGCTGGCCCTGGGCCTGGTACTTGCCCAGGGACCCAAAGAGAGACCAAGAACCACAGCCAAGGGCCACCACTGCTTGGTGACCAGCAAGGCCTGAGCAGGCTAGAGGCACCCCAGTGCTCACTAAGCACCCACCCTGGGCCAAACAAGAGCCATGGGCAGGAGGGCCAGAGACAATAAAATCCATTACTCAGGATTCAAAGATGGTAAATGTTAAGAGGAGAAATTGCCAAGATTGCACCACTGCACCGGCAACAGAGTGAGACTCCGTCTTGAAAAAAAGAAAAGGAAAAGAAGGCGGCCAAGGTGATGGGGAGTGGCTAGGGACTACAGCTGAGGGCTCAACGTTCCATGAGGGAATCAGGGATGGCCGCACTGAGGAGGTGACATCTGAGCAAGGCCCTAGGAGACAAGGGTGAAACAGCCGGGGCAGGAGGGCACGTGTGCATCCAGGGAGCAGCTGGAAGCCACAGTAGGCAGGGGGAGCAGTGAGTGAGGAGTCAGAGGTGGCAGGCCTGGCACAGAGGCCCTTGTGGTCCCTGCAGAGGTCTAAGCAGAGCAGCGGGAAGCCTCATATGAGCTTAATGCGATCACTTGGCTGCTGTGCTCAGGGGAGACTGTTGGGGGCTGGTGAAGGAGGTGACCACTTGGGAGGCTCCTGTGAGAGACACTGGTAGCCTGAAGCCGCCAGGTAGTCAGGGAGGGATGGGGAGTGGTGGGACGTGCTGTGAAAATAAAGCCACAGGGACTGTCGATGGACTGGAGGTGGCATGTGAGGGAAAGAAGAGTCTGGAAAGACACCAAGCAAATAGAAGGACAAAGGTGCCACTGACATCCTGATGGGCAAGATGTGGCCTCAACTATGGGCACAAGGGCTGAGGCGGAGTGCAGGTCTGGAGCAGTCTGAGCTGGAGATAAATCTGGGAATCTGTATCACTCGAATCTAACTGATCTGCTGCCTCCTGTGGATGGGGAAGGTCACTAAGGAACTGTTCAAGGACTGAGGCCTGGACAGGCCAATATTTACAGACAAAGGGAAGAGGAGGAACACAATGAGGCCAGAAACTAAATGAAGGAAGGCAAGCAACTGCACTGAAAGCTCTCAGTCCCTCAGGGTGAGTCAGGCTGGGAACCAACGCCTGGCCCGGCTACTCACCAGACAGGTCGCCGGTGCCGGCAGAGGCCCCGAAGTAGTAACCGGTGGGCAGGCGCACTCCTGTGATATCAATGCAGTTCTTCCACTCATTCTTGTCCTCCAGGTCGGTCATCACCTGCAGGGTCCAGCACGCTAAGCACCCTGCAGGACAGCAGCCTGCCCTTCTGAGCCTCTGGGGCACTGGCACAGGCCCACCAGCTGCTGCTCCCACCACCCAGGCACTGGCACAGGCCCACCAGCTGCTGCTCACCGTCAGACGGCCCCGGGAGTAGCGCACAGCCAGGAAGGTGTCGTGATCGCGGTTGCGGAAGTCAGCCGTGCAGCCCGCAAGCTCAGTCCAGCGCCCATCCTTGCTGTGGTCGTAGGACAGGGAGCCATTGTTCACCATCACCGAGATGTACGGGAACACGCGCTGAGACCAAGACACCGGTTACTCCACGACCAGCCTGGCCTGTGGAGCAAGCGGGGGCACCCACCACCCCAACCCCTGGAGGCTCCTCTTATGCCAGGACCACAGAAGTCCCAGGGCCCCTTCCTCTAGACAACTGTCCAGTCCTTCCTTTCCCACTCAGCAGGAGAGAGCAGGGGCCTACCTCAGTGGTCTCATCATTAGGGTAGGTGTCCAGGAAGATGGCTAAGCCATGGAAGTTATCTTTGCTTCCAAACACAGGCCCTAGAAGTACAAAGAGATGCTCTCACAATGGGAGAAATGAGAGCTGTCCCATGGATACCTAAAGGGCAAGCAATGCCAACATAGGTGGAGGCATGAGAGCCCAACCCATTAGCCATTCACCCAGAGAGAAGAGACCACGAAAGGAGAAAGCTGAGGCGGAAGTGGGGGTCAAGTGCATGACACAGAGGACTCAAGTTTGATGGCTGAACTGTGGGGGTACTGAGGCAGGTGTCAAGGGGTTACCCGGCCTACAAAAAACGGTGAGCTAGGAGAGACCCCTACCCAAGAGGCTCTATACCAGGGGCAGCAAACATTCTGTGAAGGGCCACCGAGGAAACAACTCAGGGTCTGTGGGCCACATGCAGTTGCAGCTGCATGGTCTTCGTGTTTTGGCTTTTTACAACAACCATTTAAAATGATAAAACCAGGCCAACAAGGGTGTAGGGCTGAGCCACAGGACCCAGCTGTTTCTCTCCCCTCAGCGGCCATCCTTCCAGAGCCAGGCTCCTTTCGGAGGCGCAGGGCTTTATCCACAGGAACAGCAGTTTCCTAACAGAATAATGTGGATTGGAGACGCTGGGCCCCACAAGCCACAGGGACCCCCACCCCACCGCCCTGGGGGGCCAGCAGCCATGCCCCTACCCACCCCCTGCCTGGGTCCCAGCTGAGCGAGTGCTGGCCCACCTGGCACGAGGCGGTCCCGGGTGTACCACAAGGCAATGCCGTCTCCATGGAGATTCTTCTTCCCTGTGCCGTGGACCTTGAAGTGCACGTGCATCTCCCAGTCCTTGAGGAAGCAAGGCTAGAGAGAGAGCAGAAAGGGCCGCTCAGAGCTCCCAGGGGCCTTTCAGCAAGCTGGAGGCAACCCCAGCACGGCCCCTGCTCCACAGACCTCTCTTCCCTCCCCAGCTAAGACTGGGCACTCCTTGGCACAGGACCACAAGTGCCACTGACCACAGACCCCTAAATGTTCTCAGCGTGAAGGGAAGAGATTGCTGGGCCCCAGGTGACGTGGGGGAGGCCACAGTGTCCCAAGGCTGCCTGAGGCCCAGACCCCGCCCTGCAGGTCCCAGGCTGCTCCTGAGCAGGTGGCTGCCACACTGTTCACCCTAATTACCAGTCAAACCTGTCAGCCATTTCCTTTTTATCCCCGATGCTCTTGCCCTGGAACCTTGTGCAAAGGTTACTACTCCTATTTGAGCAACAAAGGTTACAGAAAAAAAAAAAAAAATTCAGAGGTATAACAACTTGTCCACAGCAGCTCAACTGCCTGGATTCACGCCTGGGACTTTCTGACTCGGAGAGCTCTGCTCTGGCTTCGGTATTTCCCAAAAGCCTGCAGGCCTTTCACATAAATTGTACCAGCCCCTTTCTAGTCACCCACATCCACTGCCTATCCTGCTAGCCAACCTTCCCAAGTGAGGAAAATCAGGCCGGGTCAGTGCTGCTGGGCCTCAAGCCCAGGTCTGGCTGGTTCTAAAACCCAGCCCTTCACCGGTTCACCTCCCAAGCCTGGCCTAAGTGTGGTACCAGCACTGGGGATGAGAGCTGGTCAGGGTCATGCTCTGGGGCTCAGAGGCACCACCAGGTGAACTGGGGCAGGGATGGGCATTGCTTACAGCAAGGGAGAAAGCCTGGCCTTACCCACCAGGAAGTCACTTGTGAAAACTAAGGTGTCAACACACATGGTGACAAGAATCTACTTTAGGGAAGTTTGCAGATGGGTATGCAAGCAAGTGATTAAACAAAGACCCATCAGAAACGCAAATGCAAACAAGATGTTTGTCAGACTGGCAACTGTTAAAAAGACCATTAACATCCAACACAGATGAGGATGAAGAGAAATGAACACAGAAGTAAAGGAACATGAACCAGTATTAATGATGGATAATTCTGGGAGGGTAACTATGGTGACTGTTTACCATGTTTGAATAACATATAATAAACATATGACTTCTGTGATCACAAAAAACTCAAATAAAAAACAAAAAACAGTATATCCCAATGTGAGCAATCTGGTTGACATATTCACTGATGCCCCATACTCACTGGTCCCACTCTGGGCACCAGGAACCCAGATAACAAAACCTAGGCTGAGTCCCTGAGAGCCCAGAGCTAACAAGGACCTAGAGGACATCCTGCAAGTAGTGGAACATCACAGAGTCTTCCCAGGTCTTGACAGTTCATAGGTTTCAGAACATTTGCAGATTCTATAGGAAGCAACTGAGAAGTGATGAGAATTAGCTTCCAAGGACAGAGGGAAAAGGAGTCTAAGTCCAAGACCTGCTGAGGGCAATGGAAGACCTTGCTCTGGGTTGGGTTTGCATGAAAACTGCAACCCAAGAGTAACAGTAACTAGAGGCTGGGCGCGGTACCTCTCACCTGTAATTCCAGAATTTTAGGAGGCTGAGGCGGGCAGATCACCTGAGGTTGGGAGTTCCAGACCAGCTGACCAACATGGAGAAACCCTGTCTCTACTAAAAACACAAAATTAGCCAGGCGTGGTCTGGTGCATGCCTGTAATTCCAGCTACTAGGGAGACTGAAGCAGGAGAATCACTTGAACACGGGAGGCAGAGGTTGTGGTGAGCCAAGATCACACCATTGCACTTCAGCCTGGGCAACAAGAGCAAAACTCCATCTCCAAAAAAAAGTAACTAGAAAGACACTCCCAGGCACCCAGGGACAGTGGCGCAGCTCTGGGTCCTCTCAATCTCTGGAATCAGACTAAGGTGACTCACTCAGGGCACAAATTTTTCTACAAACAATTGTGCAAATGCAGTATCTGGCACACAATCATAACTAGGAACACAAAGACAAAATATGAAGACATAAGGAAACAGAAAAAGAAAAGAAGAAAAAAACAAAAAAGAAAACAGACCAACAAGAACCTTGGATATTATACTTTCAAATACCTAGATATATTCAAGAAGATAAAAGGTTGTTAATTTTGGCAGATAACTGAAAATTTTTTAAAAATTGCACTGAAAATATTCCAGACTAAAAAATATAACTAAAATGAACAGCATAATGGATAGGTTTAACAACAGATTAAAAACAGCTGAAGAGAAAATTAGTGAACTCAAGAGTCTCATAAAAACACCCACAATGAAGCAGGGAGAACAAAAGAATAGCAGATATAGAATTGTGGGTAAGAAAGAAGAAACAGTGAGAGAGGCTAAGACTCATATAATTGGGATTCCAGATTGAGATGTGAGAGAACAGGGCAAAGGAATATTTAAAGATGTCTAAGCACTTACTAAAACTGATTCAAAGACATGCTACAACTTTAAAACTCCTACAAACCAAAGCAGTTGACTAAAAAGAAAACCATACTTAGGCACAAAAAAAGAAGGGAGGGATAGAGAAAACAAAGAAAAACAGATAATTTTTTTAACATGAAAGTATTTTTTTTTTTTTTGAGACAGAGTCTCTCTCTGTCACCAGGCTGGAGTGCAGTGGCGCCATCTTGGCTCACTGCAACCTCCATCTCCTGGGTTCAAGCAGTTCTCCTGCCTCAGCCTCCGAGTAGCAGGGATTACAGCCTCCCAGCTAATTTTTGTATTTTTAGTAAAGACAGGGTTTCACAATATTGGCCAGGCTGGTCTTGAACTCCTGACCTTGTGATCTGCCCACCTTGGCCTCCCAAAGTGCTGGGATTACAGGCATGACCCACTGTGCCTGGCCAAAAGTATTTTTTTCTAATTTTTTTTCCTGGGTCACAGCTCCAGGCAATCCTGAGAATGTGCGCCACAAAAGTATTTTTTCTTTTCAACTTTTATTTTAGATACGGGGACTACATGTACAAGTTAGTTACAGGGGTATCTTGTACCCAGGCAGGGAGCATAGTACTCAATAGGTAGATTTTTTTTTGAAACAGTTTCACTTTTGTTGGCCAGGCTGGAGTGTAATGGCACGATCTCAGCTCACTGCAACCTCCAGCGTCTCGGTTCAAGCGATTCTCCTGCCTCAGGCTCCAGTAGCTGGGATTACAGGCATGCGCTGCCACGCCTTGCTATCGAATAGGTAGTTTTTTAACCCACATCCTCCCCCTTCTGGTTAGTCTGGAGTGTCTGTTGTTCCCCTGAAAAACAATCTTGGCCAGGTGCAGTGGGTCCCCAGCACTCTGGGAGGCCGCAGTGGGTGGATCACTTGAAGTTGAGACCAGCCTGGCCAACATGGTAAAACCCCATCTCTACCAAAAATACAACAATTAGCCAAGTGTGATGGTGTGTAGCTGTAATCCCAGCTAGGAGAAATGTCTGAATCTGCGGCGGGGGCGGGGGGGGAGCGGGGGCCGGACGCTGCTGTGAGCCAAGATTGCACCACTGCACTCCAGCATGGGTGACAGAGTAAGACTCTGTCTCAAACAAACAAACAAACAAAAAACCCAGATAATCTTAAAAGAAAAGCAACCAGACTTACTACTACACAATAATAGTGGGAGACTTTAACACCCCATTGTCAATATTAGATCAACCAGACAGAAAATTAACAAGGATATCCAGGACTTGAACTCAGACCTGGAACAAGCAAACCTAATAGACATTTACAGAACTCTCCACCCCAAATCCACAGAATATACATTCTTCTCAGCACCACATCACATCTACTCTAAAACTGACAACATAATTGGAAATAAATCATTCCTCAGCAAATGCAAAAGAATGGAAATCATAACAAACAGTCTCTCAGATCACAGTGCAATCAAATTAGAACTCAGAATTCAAAAACTAACTCAGAACCGCACAGCTTCATGGCAACTGAACAACTTGCTCTTGAATATTGACTGGATAAACAATGAAATGAAGGCAGAAATAAAGATGTTCTTCGAAACCAACGAGAATGAAGACACAACATACCACAATCTCTGGGACACATTTAAAGCAGTCTCTAGAGGAAAATATATAGCAATAAGTGCCCACACGAGGAGCAAGGAGAGAACTAAAATTGACACCCTATCATCAAAATTGAAAGAGCCAGAGGAGCAAGATCAAAAAAACCTCAAAAACTCGCAGAAGACAAGAAATAGCTAAGATCAGAGCAGAACTGAAGGAGATAGAGACACAAAAAACCCTTCAAAAAAATCAATAAATCCAGAAGCTGCTTTTTTGAAAAGATCAACAAAATAGACAGACCATTAGCCAGATTATTAAAAAAGAAAAGAGAGATAATCAAATAGATGCAATAAAAAACGATAAAGGGGATATAACCACAGATTCCACAGAAATTCACATCATCATCAGAGATTATTACAAACAACTCTATGCACATAAACTAGTAAACCTGGAAGAAATGGATAAATTCCTGGACACTTGCCTCCTCCCAAGCCTAAACCAGGAAGAAGTTGAAACCCTGAATAGACCAATAACAAGGGCTGAAGTTGAGGCAGCAATTAAGAGCCTACCACCCCAAAAAAGCCCAGGTCCAGACGGGTTCACAGCTGAATTCTTCCAGACATACAAAGAGGAGCTGGTACCATTCCTTCTGAAACTATTCCAAATAATCCAAAAAGAGGGAATCCTTCCCAAATCATTTTATGAGACCAACATCATCCCAACACCAAAACCCGGCAGGGACTCAACAAGAAAAGAAAACTTCAGGCCAACATCCATGGTGAACATAGATGCAAAAATCTTCAATAAAATACTGGCAAGCCGATTGCAAAACCACATCAAAAAGCTTATCCACTACGATCAAGTAGGATTCATCCCGGGGATGCAAGGCTGGTTCAACATACGCAAGTCTATAAACGTAATTCACCACATAAACAGAACCAAAGACAAAAACCACATGATTATCT